AAGTACTCCTGTTCTTCTTTATCCTAATTACTCGTTTGTTCCCCAAGGAAATCCCAACTTGTCAAAGAGGACATGAAATTGCATAAAAGATCCTTGGGTCCAGATTCTGTCATCTCAGATCTGCTTAGACTTCATGGGGGAAGTTTGAGTCGCAAGACGGAGGTTCCAGTTATGGTGGTACGCCCTGAATGTGATATTTGGACATTGGATAACCTATGAACTATTTCTGAAAGAACTCTTTGCAACTACAAAGCTCACCATCGCTGCTATGAATCAGAATCTTAAGAATTAAACTCATGTCTGTATGTATATTGATCTTTTAACCATTCTCTCTCTCTCTCTCGTTTTTTTAATAAATTTTAGTTTAGTTAATAAGAATTGGCTGTAGCATATAATTTGGATAAGATCTGGAATAATCAATAACCTGGGAGCTAATGTGTCCAATCCTTTGGGATCGGTAGAACCTTTTCTTTTATATGATGAAATAAGATTTTCAGAAATCAACATATTTGACTTGGGTACCTGGATGGAGGCCTGAGGCTGGATCACTCTAAGGGAACTGTGTTGTTTGGACTTCTAGGTAACCAGTAAGGTAATAAAGAAGCTTTTTATGCTCTCTTATTAGTAAATCTAAGTATTGGAATATTCACCAGCTTTTTGGGGATTGTCTGCCCCATTCTTTGCAGTTCACCCTAATGGAGTGACCACAGCTGACTCCTCACTAGGACCCTGGTCACAGAAGGCTTTTTAAAAAAAAAACCCGAAGTACACATCCTGGCTTTTTCTGCTACTTAAATAACAACTTACCTTGTGTTTTTCTCTGTGCTATTTTGTCGAGCACTGACTTGCGCTGAGGCCTTTATCTGAGCTTCAAGTCTAGAGTAAATGCCACCTGCATGCTGCAGTACAGGGAGATTAAATCATTTAGCTATTCCAGTTTAATCAGTGACTTTCTAAAAGTTATTAGTTTTCAGATAACTGATTTATATTTGCAGAAGCAATTCTTCCAAAAGGAGTTGGCAAAGATCAGATTGCATCCTTTCAGAGCCCCATTGTGAAGGCGCATGAGCCTGCAATCATGCACAGTAGCCATGATCTGGCTCTGATTAAGAAAGAACCATGAAGACTTTGCTGTGCTCCCGGTGCCTGATACCGGGTCCCTCCAAACCCATCCTACTTCCTGGGTCAACAGTTTTTGAAACTTTTTCTGACCAAGTGTTTTAGGGAAAAAAACCACTTTAAACTATTAAAACCTGATCAAAGTCATTTTAAAGCTTAAGTCTTCCAGACACCTAAAAAAACTGAATCTCATTTTCTGGTACTGAAAATGCATGAATTCAAGAGATCTGCCTAAAATATCACATGAATGTTACCATAACGTAAAGTCTTACTTCTTTGCCTTCCTTTGACTTGACCCGGTCCAGGTCTCCCAATCTCATTTTTATTAGGTGCCCTGTAATCTCACACATCCTTCGCTGATCTGCAAGTAATAAAAGAAATATCAATATTCTAAATATTCCTCACTACCAAGACGAAGAGCCATAAACATGAGGAACGAGATTATGCATATATTACTAATAATCCACTATACAGAGAAATGAGTGGCTTTATTCTTGGCTCATGTGAAAAGCACGAGCAGCTCTGATCCAAAGTAAGGTCCTGATCCTGCAGTGTAATGCAGCTTCAATTGGGCTCCGTGCAGGGATCCATCTGCATCCATTGCACTGCCAGATCTAAGAGAATGGTTTTGAGGCAGCATAGATTTCTAAAAGAAATGGAAAAGCAAAGGAAACTAGGTAGTTTACTGAGACCACAGCTTTCAACTCCATACAGCAGTGAGGGAAAGCAAAACAGAATAGTATGATCTTACTTCTTTATAAACTGAGAGATAGGGAGAGAGGCATTCACAAAGCATACATGTGGAGGCAATATCCATGTGATAAACAACTTATCACATACCTGTGCAATTTATATGCCCAGGCAATTACCACACACACTTATGACCTCATCACCTGCCCCCTAGTCAGTCAGTCACTCACTCTCACATTCCAAACAGCTGCCATTTAATACAAGCTTAAACCACAGTCAAGGAACTTTTCCTTCTCCTGTCTGTAACTGTGGAACTTCCTCCCACGTTTACTCCTGCCAGGAGACCCAGACTATCCATTTGCATTAGTCAATCTCTCAGCATGTGAGGTGATGAATATTTTCTCTTTATTTTCTCTCTGTAACAAAGGTATTTTTCTCCTGTGGGAAAGAAGAGACTAGTGCTAATCTGATCACGAGGCATCATTGCCTGGAGTGTCATCCTTGCAGCACGAACATTTTGTGAGTTCAAGAAGATTTTGAAGTTATTGTGTAGCATAACAAAGCTTGGTTGCAACTGAATTCTAGCACTTATCACAATTTTTGAACAGAAAAATATATGCTATACATAAATATTAATCAGAGTACATGCTGAGATCCATGTTTAGAGATATCTGCAATGTTTTCTCATATTTCATGGAATCAAGTATAGAATATCTGGGTCAACAGAAAATTCAATAGATATGAGTCGCTAAAGGACAGAACCTCAGCTTGTGTAAGTCAGCATAGGGCCATTCTATTAAGTGGAGCTGCACAAATTTACACCAGGTGGGGATCAGTCCCCAGGGGCGAGAGGAGAATATGACCATCAATGCAACTATTGTCTTCAGTGGAATTACTCATGTTTTACACTGTCATGACGGATATCAGAATCATGCCTTCCTTCTGCCATAAGCTTTTTGTTCCAAAGGATAATCTCTTTGCTCTTGCAAAGTTACATGGACAGATGAGACCCAAAATTCATGCATAGTTGCTAATATGACTGAATAAAATATCAGTAGGCTTGTATTAGGCATGGCAGAAGATTAAGTTACAGACTTGAAATGGTGGTGTGATTTACCATCATTTCCAGGTTTTTTGTAACTGTCAATAAGCATTTAAAAATTTAACCTAACCAAGTTTCATAATATA